AGAAGCTGCAGAAGGCTCTTCTTAGCGGGCTTCTCGAGCGTCTTTGCCAAAACAGTGGTCAGGCAGATCAGTCGGTAGTTATCCACTTTGCTTGCTTTACCACCTTTCGGTATTGGCTTCACGACTGAGCATTTCCAATCGCCCGGTAATAGTCCAGTAGATAGTGATCTGCTGAACAGCACAGGTATCGAAGGCACCATGATGGCTTATAGGGACTTGTAGATCAGTGGGTGGATTCCATCTAGCCCGGCAGGCTTCGTCCCATCAAGATTTGCTAGAAGCTTGCGTACATCTTCAATACTGCAGTCTAGGCTGTAAAGTTCAACGGGAGCGGTACTCGTCGAACTCGTTACAGGCACCTGGTCACTTGCAAATACGGAGGCGAAGTGCGCCGCCAATGCAGACGCACGATCTGTACTCAAGGTTAGGGGATTTCCATCGGAGCCTTCTAACATTGGGACAATGGCTGCAGGCCTCAGGCGCCGCTTCCCGTATGCGAAGATTCTCTTGGAAGCAGTTGTTGCGGCGGCTGCAAGTTGATCTTCGAAGCTTCTGCGTTTTCTTTTTTTTGCGTTGTGGAAGCGATTTCGTTGCACCTTGTACGCCTTGTCGTTCTCATCGGAGCCAGATAACGCGAATCTGTTCCAAAATATGTACAAATAGACCTTAGGCTCATAGGATTGGCTTCATCCGGCGTATTCTCACAGGATCGGCGAAAAAAGGAGGCTGGGATTAGAGTGATGTTGCACGATTGTGAATGCTGTTGCCCGTTTTATCGTGATGCATGGCGTGTAGGTGGTTACCTATTCAAGAAGATGGCATCTTGTGCAAGCACCAAGATTCAGGGGACAGGGTTACTGGTCAATTTCACGTTTAACCCATTTTGGCACGTGTTTCTTTATTCTGAATTTCAAATAACGATCGGTTCTGCCCATGTAACCGGTTACGCATTTACACACGAATTGGTATATGCAGTGGGAAGTGACTCCGATTTGCCGAGCTTCCTCCGTTGGGGGCCCCGTCAAATTACGAGTTGGGTTGATGCCCACAACTTGAGCATCATAGTGAATTTTCCGTATAACAAAACCTACATTTTTGGTGGCCTTCAGTATAGAAACTACCCTTGAACGGCAACTCAATATAGAAGAACCGTTCACTCTTCCTTGGGTGACCCCACTAGTTATTTATCGTGCAGAAGGGCGGTACTCACCTGTAGTTAATATCTAGTGCAATCAATCATGTCTGACATAGTCCACCTATGGAAGATTATCGCTTTACGACCGCTTTTGTGGTAATTGGTCGAACAGTTCTTACATATTTAGAAATTTATTTATTAGTATACTGTTTGAATCGCTAAATTCTTACGTGTACTTCAGACAATGGAATTAATATTTGGTCAGCCATCGCTTCCATGAAAGCCACGCTGCGGTTCTTCTATCAGATTCAGATGGAAGACAATTTTCATCATGCTTTTTTGCTCATTTTTAGAAGTGACTGAGAGATTATTGGAGATAACAACATTTGGCTTATGACCTCCCTTTGGCGGAGGCATGATAAGGGACATTTCTACTGGCGTGTTTTCAGAGATTGGGTAAACATGTTCATCAGGTGCGGTAGCATGTCAGACCTTCTAGTTTGTTGGTTGCTGTTGGTTTGCCGTCAGCTCCCACATTAAATGCTATCATAACTTAATTAATAACTTTTTAGACTAAGCTGAGCAAAAGCTCATTTCTGCTTAAGAATTTTGTTGCTGCAATATAATTGTGCGCAGGTACATGCTCAGTAGTGTGGCTCATGAAAATGAGAAGGAGGTCACTGAATGCATCACATGTCGTAGCTAGGTCACACAGTACGTGGCCCACAAGGTATATAATTTCTGTAAGCACGTGAGGGTGATCACTGGTTATACAATGTGGTCTTTTGACAACCTCACTGGGTTTGCAGTATGTTTTTAGAGCTATATGTTCTACAATTTTCGCCGCGTTATCTGTGCATGTTGAAGTTTGTGAGAAAGTGGTGCATGGTAAGACAAGTAAAAAATCATCTGTCTTTCTGAATCTTGGAGATATATTTCTGGATTTTTGGTTATTGGTGTTTTTGTTGGCAAGTTTGAAGACATGAGTGATGCGTTGCAGTGTGGAGCAAGTATGGCTATAGTGCGATGTATCTGATAATAAAATAGCCAAACAGCAGTATATACACTGATAGAGGTTTGCATTTCAGTTAGAAAAACAAATAATTTGTTGAATGCATTCCCCACCTTGGTGTTTAGGCGAGGGTATTGCCTATTTTAACTTGAAAACGAAGTCGTATCATATTACGGTCACGGTCAATTAGGCTATCTAATTTCGCAGGATGTGCGTTGGGTATTCCAAACTTAAATATTAAGTCTAGTATATTGACTGACTTGGTTGGACACAACCCATTTTATCCAGCCACCTTCTATAATGAACGAAGGAATACCTGCATACAAATGCGACAATGGTATAGATGACCAGCAGTTTTCAAGTCAGTTAAAATCACCGGCGGTTATATTCTTTCACTTTAGGAACCTTGTTGCATATTCAAAGAAGCAGTGAAGTTCGCAATGCTCACGTTAGACACATTCGGTTAGTTGTATATAGACAAGCATTATGCAAGAGAAGGCACCTGTAACTGCGAACCAAATAGATCCCTGGTCATTTTATAAATGCATGTGGTATTTGCGTTACACTGTAAATGTCCTACGTAGTTAATCGATGAAACCGCTAACATTCCTGGTTCTGCGATCTTTTTCAAACACGTCGTGCGTTGGAATCGTCAGAGTTCCGTCAAGTTTATCTGATGTTTTCGTGATGCGGATTTGTTGTGGGTCACTGCAGTGCGGAGCTGTGTTTGAAATTGAACTTAGTAAATTATGGATCCTTCATTAAACTGAGTAACTGGAAACATAGTGTGTTGTTGAATTGTCGCAGTGATTTGCAGGATCGCCCGATTATGTGGGTTCGAGTATGGTACACATACTAGGTACTTGCGAGAGTGGTGGCATTGTGTCAGCCGCTAGTAAGTTTGGGTGTTATGTCAGTTTGTCACGTCCAAATGTCGAGGAAGTCTGGGGCAAATATGGAGACTAGTTAACATGTTAAGAATACTGTGGGCCTAGTGTCGGACTAGCTCTGAAATTTACGCAAACTGGAGGAAGAGCGGTGTAAAATAGTTAACCATCACCGGAAGTATCTGGCCGAGAATGGGTGCCAGTCCATATATATTACCGTTAAAAAGTGACTGATGGTACGGGCGTATGAGAAGTTGTAATAACACGGGGCGAGTTAGCAGGTATCATTATCCTGTTGACCTATTTTCTTTCGGTAGCTCTATACTTCCAATTTTTGTTGTACATTTTGGGATGACAATTAAGCGTAGCCAGGAGGCCCTCGTTAGTGTTCCTATTAAAAGAGACAATTGTTTCGCGATGAATGTAAGAACCTCGTCGATAGGGAACGTTGGGTGCCACCGAAAATTTTATGGCCATATGCCATTTAAAGACACTGGTCCCGAAAGTGTTTACGTCCGCTGTGCGCAACCGTTAGCTATCTATTGTTGAATGTGCACTGTGAGACAGCGAACCAGTTACTATTGTTTCCATGATACAAGCATTCAGCTTTGAATATCATCCTTAATCAATGACAAATTCAACATAATGGGAGTACTGCTATCGCTAATAAGAGAACACGCTTTATCCATTTGTTGCTCTGTTGATATTTCGGTAGAGCAAGAAACGAGGATATTAGAGCTTGTTGCCACTGTAGATAAACATTCTAAATTGACTGCTGCTGTTATTGTTTAAAATTGGTTGTTAACTAACACTAGCATGTGACCAAACTTTGCAGCCAAGGACGGAAATCAACGTCCATGTCTTAAGGAATCTGTTGTCCCGTAAAAGTTACACAGGCGTGTCGGTGTTTAAGCTGGGATATAACATCGATGCCTTCGCTGAAGCGGTGTAATGAGGAAAGAGAGATAATGATAGTTCTGTTATAGTTTATGTGCTCTACGGGAGGCTATACCACATATTCCTATTTGTTTTAACGGTAATCGTATGCAACTAGAGCAACTAGAGCCGTTTAACATCTGTCAGTAAATATACACATTCATTTTTATTTATTTATTTAAAGGGTCCCTTGCATAAATTCCAGAAATCGTGCGGTAACTGGTAGAATTTTGTAATGATTGCGTCTTTGGTATAGTCATTCGGGTGTATAACTGGTTTGAAGCAAACTGTTACTTAAATCGTTAAACACACTGGTTCCTTTACAATATGCTCTTGAACTTAGTATCACTGTTACTTAGCCCCCATTTTCTCTAACATAACTCTATTCCTGTTGACCACTTTACTACCTTTTCATGACTTCATCTATTTGAAAATGATTGGGAGATTTTGCTCAATAATTTTTTTCTAACTCCGTCTATTATACGTATATTGGAACTCTTGAACATATACCTTAGTATGCTTAATCGGATATCTATTCCTCTTGGGAAATTGAACAACAAAGCTAGGTTGGTAGAAAATTGATCACACCAGTCAAATATAGTGAGGGGATATGTTGAGGATAACTTGTAAGAATGACACAATCCTTGGCATTCGGTGTGTAGTTTCGTTAACACTGTTTACTCTATTGTGCTGGTAGAAAATCAAGCTGTATGAAACCAACCTGATAGCGCAAACAAGCACTTCAAAGGTTACTCACTCGGTACGAGTATTTTAAGTGCTACCACTAAAGCTAATTCATGTTTGTGTGATGAGCAAACAGTTATGGAACTAGTGATGGATGACTTGTCTAACAGTCCGGCTCTTGTTATTACATTCAGTAGAAATATCAAAAAGCTGTTACGAAATACATGTAAGCATTGAAGAAACGGTTTAAACCGGAGAAAGGCAAAGGCATGACTAGTCTGATAGGATATCTGAACGGTATGGTAGTTTGGTTTGATCGAATATCAGAAATCATACAAACATTAAATCAATATAAATGCAATTTACCACTTACCATATTCAACGATCCTTTCCAAATACATTGATACCAAACCTACAAAAAACAGTGATAACTGGTCGCCAGGAATGCACTGCCAAAACCAGTTGACGAAGCGATGTGAAGCACACATGGTATTCAAGTTACAGTCGTAATTCGTCTTTCGCCTAAAAGATGCATTGAGATGTAAGCTGATGCTGTTTCTTACTGACAAATCAACCGGTCGAACTTTATATGTATTTAAGAGGATTGACGACCAAGCCCCTAATAGATGAAAGTAGATACGTATCCAGTGCATTGTACTTTGAAACAGAAGATGAAAGAAACTTACAAACGTCGAAAAGTGGCGTTGATTTTACAGGTTTCGTGAAAAAAAATTCCACCCTACTACTTTTCCAAAATGGATCAGTTTGGCTTGCTATGTATTCTACATCTGTCCTCATTGTGTTTGATTCAGAAAACATCCTTGTAAAATACCAGCTTTCGGTAAAACATTAGTGCCATTTTGAGTCACTTATATGATAAAAGCAACAATATAGATTGTGGACTGATGGTAAAAATGAACACCGTAAAATTACCTACTCAATAGATTGTCACAACTAACCTACTTGCTTTAGCTTCTAAGATCAAACGTCCACCATCTTCCGCTGCTTTGTTTTAATCTCCCACCAAAGAAAGGGATTAGTTATAACGGCAGTTTTGTCAGTCAACAATCAATAAAAAGGTTGTTAGTTTGAGGTAAACACACAAGTTTTCCTTTCGCTCGATGACAGTGACTTCCGTTCAGCTTTCCACCACCTGCGGACCTTATGTGCTCACGGTCTATGCTTCCACACCTCGTTCTAACAATTCAAAGTACCAATTTGGAATCAGAAAATTTCGACGCACATGTTGACATCGCTTCTCTATTTGTTCCTGCAACACGGAACACAGTAAGATGAATCCACATCGTTCGGTGTCGAAAACACCAAATAGGAGAAAGTTGGTTTCGTTAAACCACTCCACGTGTGCAAGGACGAAATTGCTGAAGGGAAAAATGGTTGGATGATTGACAATAAAATCCAGGTAACCGGAGAACTTGCATCAGTGATACTACAAGAAACTTCGCAAATCATGTATAACTGCTTGTTGGTAAACGGAAAGTCAGATTACAAATTTAGTGTGCACCATTTGTGTTCGAGAAACATTGTTACAAGGATATTAAACCGATATGATAAAACACACTCAACGCGTTTTGATAAAATAAATCTTAAATCATGACACTTTATCTATATTTTAAGCTAAGCGCATGCTGAAATAGTTGAGTCTTACTATGTCTATTTATCACCTGCTCCAGGATTCATTTTATAATCCGACCATGTGTGGAATATATTGTGTTGCTTGTGTACACGCCTTAAATAAACTACGTAAATGTGACTTACATCGTTTCATTTGACGTATTGGATTCATTTGGGATTTGTGCAACCAGGGTGCTCAGCAATGTCCAATTGAATGAAATCTTCAGTTTACCCGAAAAATCCATCAAGATGATCTTGATCTTAGGCACTCGAAGTGGTTTACTCAGTGGCCGATACTAGAGGGGTGGAAACATCCCAGAGTTCTGTATGTCTTAAGCAAGTATCAACTGGGCCATTTGCATCTTAGCGCATTTGCTTACAAAATAACCGTTTTACTAATTATATATTTCAAGCAATACTTATAGGCTGGCTGGTCAAAATTTGTAATTAGTGAGTGAATTAAATGGGTACTTTGAAAGTTGATAGCAACGCTTAACACAAAACATTGAGAACACAAAAGAGCTGGGTGCTTGCACACAATATTTTTTAATAAACTTTATTTTAAATGTTATATAGGATAGCTAGTACTTCTATACAATTTGCTGGTAAGGCTTGATAACGTCAACATATGTATTCAAACTTAGGGATTCAGTCTTTTTCTGACGGCGTTCTTGTTGAGCCTATACCTTTACTATACTTTACTATAAGGAATGCCAAGGAATTTGGCATTTTATAATGAAATGCTTTGCAGTCAGACCCAAACTAAGGACATTTGCATATACGGGGGCATAGTGAGCGCACTTCTGACCCTCTCTAAATTCCTCAGCGCTAGATATTCACGTGCATTTTGAAGGACTAGACTCCATGAACCTAATCGTTGTGAGCATGACGGAGGCAGCCAATGTCATCTGAATCTATCAACCACATCCGGATCAGTTTTCTGATCATACAGATTGCAATGACAATTTAGTTGTCAAACGTAAGGAATTCGATTCACAGCGGGATGCTGCTCTGACCTATGCACGGTAATAACCTGCAATCGGCTGAGGTGCTGACCGCGCTGTCTCATGTTTAGTTAGTTAGGACCATCAATCGTTGCGGTACCCGGTGTCCACGTTTATCCAGATGTGTCAGTTAGATAAAATGTCTTTTAGTTGATTTTTGCTGAAACCAATTTCGCCCAGTGCAATTTCAGCATATTTTGCAGCATATTTTACCCAACGTTTAGCTAACAACACCGATTTCCGTCAACTTATGTTTATATCGGAGAAATATAAGTCTTCTGTTGTCAACTACTAGAAAGTATATATATATGCAGGATTTCTGACAGGTATATAACAAATCCTGGCAGCGTCCCAAAAGCGTAATGCCAATCTGTGTAGAAATATTACTCACTGGAGTATGCACTGCTGCTTCAACGTCCGTTGAAAAGTCACCCACGGATGTTTGATAGCGCACGATGGGTAGCGTCTTCAAATGGTCTTCATTTGTGGCCAGCACCAGTATGTCGGAATTTCCACTTTTCCAAAACGCTCCCACCTGTCCATAGCCGAAGTAGTCTGGATAACAGATGCAGAACAGTGAATATGTAGAACAGTTTTACTTAACGAATAACAGGATAGTCCAGAGAGCTAGAGGATGGAGAAATGGAACACTTGCATAATCCAGCTTTTTGTTACATAGAGTGATATTTCGATCCATTTCCAATAGTTTGCATATAACTTACCAAATGAATTCAGGGCAGTCAAATCTAACGCAAAGATCTATAGGTGTTTTATGATCTTGGTGCTTCAAATTCACCAGAATGAGGTTGTGCATACTATGATTATATTTAGGTCATACAAGTGGCGATAGCCAAAAGCGAACCATTTCTTTTGGTATTATACCGTGACAGTTCACAAATTCTGTGGTATGCCGGGTCATGGGTAACTAACAACAAGGGGAAAACCGTTCTTACCATGTGGATCCATGAGATCCATCATTAAATAAAAGCACTGACACTTAAAATATATTTATTATTGACGATTATTTTGTGCTAATCGAGTAAATCTTATATCATTACAATTTTTGCACCTTGACGTTAATCAAACTTGAATACGGCATATACATGATAATCTGATTTCGAGCATAAGAGTAGTTTACTTTGGAAAAACGGAGTTTGAAATTTTGTGTTGAAGTAATTCGCTTCTCACGTTACACTAGTACGTAGGCAGCACTGGTCAAGTAGACCTGGGTACTTCCACATCTCAGAGGTCACTGGGTATAAAGTGCTTATTTAGAAGAAAATAGCTTAGGTAACTGGACTAAGTAATCAGTTTCTGTCCAGTTGTACCCACGGACGCTGCGAATTTTTACCTCAATGTGCAGGATACTACTTGTTCTTTAAGAATACTGTGTTTTACGTGTTTTCTTTGTGTGGATTATGGACCATTGCTTTGCTTTTGTTGTACTTAGCCAGTTATGCAAATTTGATGCACAGTCTCCAGTTACTGACTCAGATCTCAATGATTGACCTAACTGCCGTCTGTGTCCGAAATCTTGGATTTGTTCCACAGCAATCTAACCGGTGTCTGCCAGACCACCAGCTCGACCGTCTGGGTTTGGATTCAGCACACCAGTATAGACATTGCAACGAACCAATTACGCATGTCTAACCGTCACTATGTCACGTACTGTTTGCCCACGGAAAGCTAAGACCAAAACTTCCGAAATAAACGTTAGTTATGGCGTAGACAGCTGTGTAAAACTTGTACGATTTAGAATAGGGTGCAGAAACTGCCGGAAATACATCCACGCTCAATGTGCTCGACTTAGTGTCAACCAGACAAAAAACTTAATAGTACTACCGACGCGCTCTGGTTTTTCACTAAGTGTACGTCTCTTCCACTCATCAGATGTATAACTGTGTTGGCGACGAACTGCGATGGGCTGACAAAGAGTGTAGATGAAGCAGCAGCCGTGAAAGCTGTCATACATGTACCAGACAAATCCGTGCCACGAACTTAACGTTCGACATCAAGCTCCGATTCAATACAGTGTAGGATTAACGATCCAGTTATCCACGCCGACACTAGCGGCTGCTCATAAAAATGCGTTTGCCACACATTTTCAACAGAATCACCTGCCTCACTAAAGACTATTAAAGGGCCGAAAAGATAAGCGTCCGTCATTGCTACTGAATGAGGGAAGCATCTCCAATTATAACCCCGCCCCTTGAAACTAGTTACTACTACCAATACCACCAGGGGACGCAAGGCCCCATCATTTGTCCAACCGAAGAAAGCAGCTACTGGTCCCTCCAAAAACGAGAACCGGAAACACTACCATAATTCTCTGAATGTTATACACTCTAATGTAAGCAAATCCAGATGGAACACAGTAGAAGTTAAGATATTAGAAGACAAAAAGCAGTGGAATGCTCTGTGTCCACTAATAGGGGTTCAAGGTATACCAGTCAGTATGATGCGTCTCGTCCGTCACCCAAACTCTGAACACTATGGTGAAACACGGTTACTCCAGGGAATATTTCAGTCACCTAACGAAGCAGAGGCAGTTTCCTTGTCATCCACTCGCCTCCGTAACGCCACATGCACTGTTCGAATATTTTCATATCTACCTTGGATCAAACGCCAGAAAAGCAAACAAAATTCGGATGACTTCCGTAAACAACAAGACGCAAAATCTAGCTTTGTTGACGGTCTCCACGAGCTCCAGTAACTAAGCAAGCTGGAGGTCAAAGCGCATGACTGGGATAAATGGTGTTTTTTGTTCGTAAAGTGCTCCCATTCGAAAATGTTTTCGCAAATTCGATTTCAAGTTTACCGCTATCACCTAACTACAAAGGATGTGGTCTGCGAATGATGTATGCATCATTGCACACGGAACTGATGAGAGAAAATGCGATCAACATGTGTCACAAAAACGCAAAATGCTGCCAGCCGAAATACGCGTAAATGCGATAAGCACCGTGCCACAGATAGACAATCTAACACTGAGCAAGCAACTAACCACTACAATTGTCTCCTTGTAGCTCAGAACGGAGACAATGCCACAACACACCGACAGCTGAAGGAAGACAGGATGCTCTCCTTCTTGTTGGCACTAAGAGCTATATCCAACAAGCTGAACTGGCCCTAGGGATGTGTCATTGGTCCTGCAAGATATCCAACGGCAGCCGACCACGGAAGGATCGACATAGACCCTCATCGGAAACGAGAACTCACAAACACGATTCTGAGCACTGATACCCTCACCTGCTTGTATACGAATGCACAATGTCTTTTTAGCGCGCCAACTGAACTTCGTATTCTTCAGGGCTCCACGCTGTAGGACCAAGTTATGGTCACCGAAACATGGGTGAACATGGAGATCACGGTTGCTGAGATTGCACTACCCTGCATGACTTCCATATGAAACGATTAAACTAGCAGATGAAGGTGAGTACTCCTGTATTATCCATCTGGTCTGCAGTTTGATATCATTAGGGACCCAGAAACGAATGTCGTCGATTCTCTTCGATGTTCTATGCACCTAAAATGTAGTGGTGTATGTTTGCTGGCAATAGTTTATCGCTCTCCAATGTCCAACTTGGAACTAAATCAATGCTTAGCTTCTGGGATGAAACGAGTCTTTGCGCGACCATACAGTCAACTCCTTTTAATGGGGAAAGCCAACCTTCACGCAATCAACGTTACAGAATCGTACAGTGGAACAATTCGAGACTACTTTGCAATAGGTGATTGCCGATTTACCTCTGTACAACCATGTCACTACTCCCACGCGATTTCGGACGGGTGACACACGCTCTTTTGGACTTTGTGCTCTCCAAACAGGAACTACTGGTTGACACCATGAATATAGATTCAGCACTTAGCTGAAGCGATCAGGCGATTTTGCGCCTTCGTTAAACCTGTTAATCGGACTACATCAGTAAGAACAACGTGAAAATCTATGTCGTTACTCGTTACGTTATCCTATCCAGCCCCATTCAAGGAACCGACAATGGAACAATGGAACAATGGAACAATGGTATATGACGGGTAAAAAAGCATACACTTAACGAGTCCCGCAGGTTGGCAATAGAAATACTAACAGATTGGCAAACCACATAAATGGTTGAAGTAAGGAGCGTCAGTGAGATAAAAGGTAGAAGTATAACAGTTTTAGGGGGATAAAGTGGTACGGCGCGAAACTGGCTAAGAAATTGGCTCAGAAGCCGCGCGATATCGCCTGAATGGTGTTCGTCACCCAATTCACTGAGCTAATGTCAAATGCGTCAAAATGCAAGGTCCTTCGCCCGAAACAAGTGATTTTGTTCCCGAGAAGCCTTACCAAAAACTGCATGGCTTTAAGGGATTCAGCTTGGCGGGCTTAAAATGTCTGTCCAAGTAACCTGATCTGGGATGATTACAAAACTTAACGAATCAACTGCGGCAAGTCGATCTGCGAAGACACATTCCAGCACCAAGAGAACTTAGCGGCAAAATGCAGTCACTTGCTTTATAGACATCTCAAAAAGCTCCGCAGAGTGCAGCACGGGATCCCTGTTTTAGTGCAACGGATGGTCATGTGCAAACAGCACAAGATGCAACCAACGTGCTTGGACAACACTTCATCCATACTGCCCGGAGTGAATCATCATTTCATCCGCTTTTGACGTAGCTTCCATAACCACCAGGGCTAAACCACGTATTGTTCACGGCCGTCTGTATGACGAAAAGGCTAATGTTATTGCGCGTGCATATATCACCTGGCGTGGAAGACTTCAAAGCGAAGGCAATGAAGACAGCAACCATAAACCTTGCCGAACCACTCAGCTCGGTTCAATCTTGTCTTGACAAATGCAGGTTCCCACAACGTGGAAACGTAGACTAGTCACTCCTATTTGAAAAAGTGGTAATCGTATGGAGCCCTCGAGCTACCATCCAATCACTCTGCTCCCAGTTGTATCCAAAGTAATGGAACATATAATTGCGGAGGCGCTCATGGGGTATCTTGAGGGCAGCAAACGTCTAGCCTCACAGCAATACGGATTCCGCCAAAGTCGATCCTGAATTGCAAATTTGGTTCTAGCCTGAGCAAGCTAGATAGAGTCAACCGATGCCAGAGCGGTAGTCGACGTTATCTACCTGGACTAATCATAAGCTTTCGATCGTTTGGACGACGGCATTCTCCCGCACAAATTTTGAAACTATGGATTCCATGACCTTTTGCTGGATTGGATAGGCAACTTCCTCATTCAACTTCAGCTGAATGTGAGAGTCTGCAGCTCCATTTCCGACCCAATTGATCTCCAGGGTGGTATGCCTCAAGAATTGGTACTGGGGCCACGTACATTCCTATCATTCATTAACGATCTTGCTAGTGTACCCAAGTAGATGTTCTTATGATATGCGGATGAGGTCAAAAGTTGGAATGATGTCAGGACATTGGATGATTACATGGCATTGCAGCGCGACCTAGACAAAGCTTAATCATGGTCATCCGACAAGCAGGTCCAGTTCAACGTCAACAGGTGCAAAGTCGTAAGCATAGGCCATCAGCTCATCTATGAATACCG